AATACGCAATCACATTACCTGCCTCGATAGACTTTCCGCCGGTCGTTAATTTTTTCAATTTTCTCTCTTACGTGAGCTTGCGTCACGATTGCATTTCGTAAAGTACAGAGCTATTAAATAAAATAAATTCATTAAATAAAATTCGATATTATGGCGTCTGCGCGAAGCGATCTAACGTAATTACTTAAACTGCTCGTGAAATTAATTTCACGATTGTCGGAAAATTTTCAGGTTTCAATTTTTTACTTAGAATTTCCTAACGCGGGACAATAGATAATGTTAGCGAACGTTGATCTCACGCGATGTATACAAATTGTATGCGAGCAGTTGTTTGTTTATTTACGCGGCGCGCGACGAGTTTCATCGAATAAAACAGGAGCCTCATGCGGTAATAATTTGTTTCGCGTGAATTTTGAATAAAATCATTATTTCTATCGTCGCAATTTTCATAGTTCTTAATTTTTCATTCATGCTCGCGTTTTCGATTATATGTTTTGATAAATTTGCGAATTAACCGGTTCGTATTTGCGGAAGTGTCAAGAGCGAACTTCGCAGAAATACTACGGAACTATTATCCGCAAAAGTATTGCGGAATTATCTTCGCAAAAGTATTGCGGAGCTGCTATCCGCAAAAATATTGCGGAATTGTCTTCGCAAAAGTATTGCGGAGCTGTCATTCGCAAAAATATTGCGGAATTGCCGTTGCAAAAATATCGCGGGTTTTCGCGAATATTTCAGGTTCGTTGAAGAGACAGACGTCTCACGCGGTAACGATAAAATTTTTTCGCGTAAACTTTGAATAGATCTTTTTTTCTATCTTCGCTATTTTCACATTTTTCAATTTTTCATTCGCATTCGCGATTATTAATTTAATAGATTTGCGAATTTTGCCGAATCGAAATCGCGGAAGCATCACGAGCAAACTTCGCAGAAATATTGCAGGGAAAGGTTTTCGCGAATTTCAGGTTTGTTGAGGAGACAGACGTCTCATGCGATAACGATAACATTTTCTTGCGCAAATCCGGATTAAATCTTTTTCTCTATCATCACTATTCTCACAGTTTTTAATTTTTTATTCGCGGAAACGTCGCGAGCGAACTTCGTAGAAATATTGCGGAGTTATTATCCGCAAAAGTATTGCGGAATTGTCTTCGCAAAAATATTGCGGAATTATCTTCACAAAAGTATTGTGAAGTTGTTAACCGCAAAAATATTGCGGAATTGTCTTCGCAAAAATAATGCGGAGCTGTATTGCAGCCTACTACGCTGCACCATCGAAACGTCATATTAGGGATATTCCGCGTCGTACGTGAGAATCTCGCACAGATTACTTCGCTCACGCGTCAAAAGAATTTGCGAGATTGGCCTTTGATTCGCGTCACGCGTTCCCTTTGCTCACGGATTCCGTTTTCTTCGTATCGACGATTCGCGTCGCGTGTATATCAAAGCGATACACTACAAACTCGATCGGACCGTTGTTGAATTTGTCGCATATACTCATCGTTTATCCAAAAGGCCGACATTTCCTCGAAGACGTAGTTTGTGATATTTCATACGCAATTTGCAACTCGGAGTGTATTCCCCAAGAGAGACGGAATTTTTCGTGAAACCCCGTTAGATTACCGCGGTCGGGAGTGAAATACAGGCGACGTGGGACGCGAAGACCATTGCAGTGTCAGATGCAGTGACAGGATGGCTGGTGGACTCTGGACACCGTGGGACGACGCGCAATGGTGAGCGCTCAATTTAGACGCTCATATAGTAGACACAAAGCGTCACTTTACGTAGATTGCATGCACGTAGACGTAAATCGCATTGGATCCGACGGGAAGTAAAGTAAGAATTGGAATTTGCATTTCGCCGGAGTTACGTAAGAATGATCTAACCAAAGAATTTAGCTCTGAGATTTTCACAATAGTTCAACGAGTCAAACATTTCCATTTCTTTAAAAGTACTGACTAGCTTAGTCTTTAGAAAAATGTGCAAAAAGACACGACCGGTAAAAAATAAAAAAAAACTGTTTCTCAATTCATTTCAAGCATCTATAAGGCTTGCATTTTTCTTGTTTGGTTTAAAAAATGTGAATAGAGTATCTATTGATAAAAGTTTTTAATTTTTTTATTTGGATCATTCTTGCATAACAATGGCCAATTGAAATTTCGACTTGGCAGGCTTCCTTCTCGTCGGATTGTTTCTTAATGATACATTAAATTGATATATTTCAACATGTCATATTTACATACTCTGTATATGTTATATATGCTTTTTTATGCTCTATATATGTTTTATATATATGTATGCTCTATATATGCTCTATATATACTATTTGATTAATATAATTTATAACTTGTTATGTCGTATTATGTACGATATACTATCTCTTCGAAGATATTTTCTTATGCATACGCGTTTGTTGTTGATAAGACGACAAATTAAATTTCGACAAATTAAAGACAACAAATTAAATCATTAAGCCGAGACTCGAACCGAAACGTTTCGAATTTCCCTTAAATAATTAAGCCGAGATTCGGATCCGAGTGTTTCGAGATTCCACTAAATCAATAAACCGAGATTCGAACCGATGTGTTTTGTGTTTTCGCTAAATTATTAAACCCAGATTCGAAATGAACTGTTTTGAGTCTTCGCTAATTTATTAAGCCGAATTAGTTAAACCTGGGATAATTTTTTAAAGTTGTTTAAGAAATTTTCGCATTTGCAAAGATGTATTATCGAAAATGATGTGAAGTATGCGTACTTCGCTCTGCATCGTCTCTTCGATGACAACGTGCCTTAATGTCACTCCACTTCCTCAGTGACAAGCCCAGAATCTTGAAAATAATTTTATAATAGCCCAAAGCCACATTCATAACGTTACATCCATCGTAGCATTATATGCTACGGATTCTCGCGCATGCGCAGTGGTACCTATTTGCCTATTTATGGGCCGTAAGTCGGTCATGTTAAGCTGGTGGCACATAGAAAAACTTAAACAATAAGACGTAAGCAGTAAGCAAATTGACCAATCACAGTCATTGATTCTTCTTACGGTCCAAGAATCAACGACTATGATTGGTCAATTTGCTTACTTCTTACGTCTTACTACTTAAATTTTTCTGTGTGCCCTTATTGCATGTTCATAGGTCATATAGTGTTAGCGTGTAGAGCAAATTCTAGGGTAACTTTTCATGGTCTTTTAAAGTAATTTTCGCGATTGCGAGAGTTTAATTTCGAAAAAGAAATGCGCATCTCGTCTTGCGTCGTCTCCTTGATAACAATGCGTGTTAGCGTCACTCTACTTCCTTAGTAGCACCTTCAGAATCTTGAAAATAATTTGTCAATATCCCAAAGTCGCGCCCATAACGTTACCTCCATCGTAGCATTATATTCCAATTCTCGTGCATGCACAGTGGTACCTATCTGCGCATTGGCCGAAAGTCGGTCATGTTACTGCAATTAGGTCATATAGTGTTAGCGTGTAGAACACATTCTATGGTAATTTTTCACAGTCTTTTAAAATAATTTTCGCGGTTGCGAGAGTTCAATTTTGAAAAGAAGTGTGCATTTCGTCTTGCGTCTTTTCCTTGATGACAAAGTGTGTTAGCGTCATTTTACTCCCCCAGTTATACGCTGAGAGTGTTGAAAATAATTTTTTAATATCCTAAAGTCGCGTCCTTAACATTGAATCTACTCTATATCTCACCATATATTATCCCACTAAGGCTGCATTCCGAAATTCACTGCCAGTATTGAAATTCTATAATATACGTAACATAAATGGTCTGTTCTTTCGCTTTGCACTGCTGCACTGGTGTAATAAATTAGAGTGAGACAAATATATATTTGTCTCACTCTAACTTATTACACCAGTGCAGAGCAAAAGAACAGACCTATAAACTATAGATTTTCAGTACTGGCAGTGCATTTCGGAACGCAGCCTAAATTATTAAGCTGAGATTCAAACTGATGTGTTTGGAGTCTCCGTTAAACTATTGAGCGGAGATTCGAACCAAGTTGTTTGGTCTCCCGTACTATTCGTATTATTATAAATTACTAATTCCAATAAAATGAATTGTGGGACATATTTCATAATGGGAAAGATAGGGAAGTGCAGTCTATATATTATATGTCTATGATCGTTACCGCGAAAATTCGCCTAACAAACGTAATAAAGGCGCACTTTGTTAGATGGCGTCTCGAAAATGCGCCTAGCTCTAGCCACTAAAATCAGGCTCGTAGCCTACGGGCTATCGCACACAAATTGACATAACTGCATATGCATAGCATAAGATCGTATGGACCAATGAGCATCGAATATTAAGCATTGAACACCAATATGGCGACTTAATACTCAATGCTCATTGGTACATACGGTCTTATGCTATGCATATACAGTTATGTCAATTTGTATACGATAGCCCTAATGGCCTTTAGAAGTTTCTTTTATGCTATAATTCTAAGCAAATATTCGAGTAAATCGTAAAATCATAAAGTCGTAGCTTACGAAAAAAAAAAATCGTAGATATTTGTAAGTCATTTCTCGCTGGGATACAGTCCGCATAGAATTGCAGATCTATTCACTAAGTTCTTACGAGTCTTACGAGAACAAGTTACGAGTTTTACAATTTTGTCTAGAATTGCAGTATTAATGTTTAGTCAATAAATATAACGTAAATGAACGAAAATTATTCTAATCTTAAATGACCCATAATTAGGACCGTTACTTTATATCTTTTGTACTTATACAAAAGCTTCAGCTAAATAGAATATATCTATAAAAAACCGAGCACTCGTACACGAGGTGTCGTCTGGTTGTGAAGTATGAGCTAAATAATCTCCATTAAAAGAAAATGAGACCACATAATCGAAGACAAAAATCAGAACTATAATTGTAAATAAAATATAAAGATATTAGCGTGTGGTAGGAAACTTAGACGTTCTATAGCCATAATTAAGAAAAAAAAATCTGATCAGGATAGGCAAAATGAGTAAAATAACCCAGATCCCTCTAGTATATTTTATTCAATAATGACTTGAAAATATAATAGAAGAGTCTACACAAGAAAAATCACAAACAGAGACGCTGTTTGAGAAAGTTGCAACATTTTCAAGTTTTATTTAATATTCCGCGTAGGAAATTCAAAACGACTTTTAGTATTTCGTTAAAAAAAAGAAAATGAAAACGTTGACACACGTAGTCACCTATTACGTAGGATATCGAAGCAATTTAAATTTATTGATTTGTAAATAAGATTCATCCGTGTGAGGCGACGCACGTGATAAAAGCATATGCCGTAAATGTCTGTCATTTTGTGCAGGAGCGCAAGGGAAAAGTACTTTAGATATTTCTGCACTCTGGCTACATACACAACATACACACAAATTCTCAATACAATCTATTATCTAATCTTAATTTTAAACTTATAAATGTCCGTCATTTACCTCTTCATTCAGAATTCATTCTGTTCGTACGTTCATAATGCAACGAGCTGAACAATTACAAGACAATGTGTCCAAGTCAATGGACACAACCATGAATTAGTTACACGCCAATGTCAAACCTATTGTTCAAACCTAATGTCAAAACCTAATGTCAAATTTACTTCATGGCAATAGTAAACGGCAATTCTACGATATAAATTTCCCGCATTGCATCGTACAATGGGAACAGTGCGCAATACCTCTTGCATCTACATATGTACTCTTTTTCTCGAACAGACAATTAGTGCTATTCTAATTTGTACACATCAATTGCCTATTAGAGAAAACACGTGTGATCATACGATGATACATCGGCGTATTTATCGTAGACCTTTTAACATTATCATGAAATAATCTTACTATGAGGACGTAGACGTAGAGGCAAGGAGCGCAAATATAGCAAATACGAGCGTGCCTCGTTATTTTCCCAATCGCTTTATTAACTTTTCGAATAGATATTGCCCTCCGATCTCAACATTACAACGATCATCCGGTTTCGAGTTGCCTCGATTCGACGCGATGACTTGCTAATAGAAGCAACTGACATGGCGGGAGAAAACTGTTTCCTTATTCTACGTAAGAATTACGGTTATTTCGTAAAACGAATCTTTTGGTAGATCTACTTGGAGTCGGTCTCCATTTTGATCTCCTCCGCCTTTTTGTCTTTCTTTGAAGCCTCGCTGTCCGTACCTTCGCCGTTGCTATTGTCACGTCTTCGCTTGCGCGCAAATCGTCCTTTGAACTTCGGCGGAGGTAGTTGTTCCATCCCGAGAACTTTGTGTATTTGTCGGAACGCTACCAAGCGCAAGGCATGTTGCGCAGAAGCGGTGATGTCCTCTCTCTGTTGAGATGTCATATTGCCTATCGCGTCCACTGCCTCTTTCTCACACGGATCCGACAATCCTGCAAAATCATCCGACATTTTTATCGCGCTCGTGTATACAGCTTATCGCCGGATTAACGAAACCGCTGAAACTTTCCATCAGATTGCCAGATCATCTGCGCGTTGTCGCGGAGTAGATGATCGCGATGCAAGAGAACGAAATACTCGCACTCAGGATCGACAATCATTACCGCGACACGCTCAGTCTCGTCATCTGTCTCATCATATGGAAACGAGGAGGCGATAAATACGCGAACGGAACGCAATCGAAACAAAAACTGCGTCTACACGGTAGTCTAAGGTCGGTTTAGTAATATCCGCACACAGGCTATAGTCTGCGTTTACGCGACCATTATAAAACCGATTTGACATACACTTCTCGATGTTGTAACTACTAGTATTAATGTCGTATAGTTATAACATGATTGTGTTTATACGATATGTAACTCTAAAACTTAAATATTGAGTATTGTCAGATCGGTTTTACACTGTTTATGTGAACGTATCTTTGGATATTGCATTAAAGCTTACCTGGACTGCCTGGAAGTAATATTCCGCCAGCTACGCATTCTAAGAGTCTCCTCAAAGCCTCACCAGGACTTAGAAGACATCCTGCAGTGCTGATCACTTTCTCAGTCAATAACTCCAATGCCTGTGTACATACATATGAATCGATTATTATTACACAGTCCTAGAAATATGTTATAAATAATGAGAAACAATACTGACCCATGGATTTAACGGACCCCATGTTGGCACGCGATTGCAAAGGTCACGCATTATACGGATAACCATAACGCAGCTCTGCAGGGAAGTCGCTCTAGCCTGTTGAACAGGATTGACATTTTAGTGACTAGGATTTAATTATACACGATAGAAGCACTGGCTCTTCTGGAGATGAGACGGCCTAAACTAAATCCTTTCGATTGCTTTGTGTGGGCTTTAGCTATCCTCCCAGCCTCGTGCCTAAAGGCTCCTAATGTAGTACATTAGCCCATATCAATCATATTTACCGGGTGTTTATCGATCTCACTTCCTAAACGTTTAGTATTTACCTATTATTGCAATGACAATAAAAAAAGTCTACAGTATATGTATCAAAAATTGTGCATCACAAAATGATCTCTAGGACTCGACACTAATTTTACACACAAAAGAAAAAAACACCCGGTACGCTTATGACACTACTGTGTGTTTGTGCTTGTCTGTCTCTTTTCAATCTCAAAAGCTGTGCAAGTAAACCGCACAATTACATCGTTACAGTAACAATGGCAACGAAATACATGTAATCTTGCAAAAAGCTACATATAATATATATATGTACGGTCAAAATTGTATTCTCGAATAATAAGACAGACCTAGGACAGACGCAGTCTAGGCTACAACGCATTGAGGATGATCCAGAATAATGAACGTGCTTGATCGCAAAGCAAGTCGAGCGGTCTGCGTTTCGTACAAACAAAACAAAGAAAATTACACATTCTATTCTGCTTTATCTTTCTTTCTTCTCTACAAACGTAATTATTATTCGAGTTATTCGAGACGTATCGCAGAGAAACTGCTTTCCTATTATTCTGGATGTCGGTGATTTCAAGCGAGAAGCAGATGTAAATGCATCTAGCAGTGTTGCGCGTGACTGTCGAGATACACATTTACATATTGCTTATTCGTGAGATTGCTTGTCTGACGTGATACATCTGATCGCGTTCGATGTACGTTCGTTTTCGATTGCTTCTCGAACAGCCAACGTACGGACGATGCCACTGTTATTGCCACTATTTCATGGGGGGAGGGCATTTACGATTATTTTTCACGTCAAGATAACAAACGGTGGTCGCATGAGCACCGAGAAACGCGAACGTAAATCTACGTTTTCTGGTGAGGAACGACCACAGATCTTCTTCAGTGGGCAAAGCCGATTGATTGGCGCACATTGAGAAATACTCTATCAGCGGATATGGAACGACGTGCATCGAACACCGCACTCAGATAGAATTCGGTCAGACAGAATCGTGTCGACAAGTCAGTTAATGATAAAAATAAAACCGTCACAAGGCTGGAAGTTCTAAGACTGCTTCTTTTCTCTTTCTTTCTTTCACTTCGTTAGAGATTCGAGAGAGAAGATAGAGAGAGAGGAGAGAGAGAAAGAGAGGGCAACTCGCGTCTCGTCAGGAGAAAATAAAAGAAAATGCTCGTTTGGTCTTTTTTTCTGTTCCTAGCGCCAAACAAAATTGGCACTGACAATTCAAGATCTTGAACTGAAAGTTGATTGATTCAAACCTGAAACCACTTGGCATGCCTGAGTGCAGCTAAAGCCTCCAAACACTTAGCCTTGGGAAGTACGTCCGGAGGGTCTGCTTTCGTCACGGTAGGGGCCGCGGGCGTTGTTTGAAGTTGAGCAGCTTCCTGCTGCTGCTGTCCAGCATTATCTGAGATTCCAACAAAGAAAGCACAACACGCTTAGACAACACTTAGAGTGTTTGATCATGCCCAGAGGTTTTTAGGTATTCCCTCTCTAAATGCGTAATTCGTTTAACAAACTCAAGCGCGTTTACAAAAGTCGTGGGCTGTGTTGTTATAATGCCAACGTGAAAAAAAAGAAGAAATATAAGCCTGATCGAATGTAGTACATTGCAATGCACCCCAGAGTCATCTCCGTCGTTCACGTTCTTGTTTTTTTTTTGGCGCAGCTTATCTCTGTGCCGCCCAAGAACGTCCGACGATTCCTATCAGCATCGGTAGCATTACCTCTATCCGCTCGAAAGGTAGGTAGCATCGATGCCGATAGTACAGTCGGTTGAATCTCAGAGGTTTTTATCGCAGAGCGTGCGTACAGCATTCGATAAGAGTCAGAGGGATTTTCTGTCTTCATTTATGCATGATCAAAAAGTCCATAGTTTTAAGATTGCCTCAGCGTTGTTTCCTCCTATCACAAGCGTGTCCACGTTCGACTAAACTTTTCTTACGTTTTTCTCGTTATTATGAACGTTTATCAGAGACTCTAGTTCGAATTGTGCATTATTGACAAAGCGAAATGCGAAAAAATCACTACTAATAAGAAAGTACCCGCGGATCAAGGCAAAATGTCTAATCGTATTTCAAGTTTATGCTTTTCCGTGGAATTTATCTCGATACCAGTCGAGAAGTATCGTTTCGTGTTCTTCGTGGCTCAGAAATGCATGTCGTAAAGAGGACGACTCTGTCGTGGACACACTGAAAGCACGCAGCTGTATCGAAGAAAGAAATTAACTTGATGTTAGAGAGCGTATATGTACACTGGCAACCGTCGAGAATCGTCCTTGGCCGTCCCGCATCGTCCTGGTGCTTAAAAAAACTTACAGAAAATCTTGCGGGCCATGAAAAGAACAAACTAAATGCATAAGTCGCGGAGTGATCGGGAAAACGGTATGAAAATAAAAGTGCAATTCCGTAAAACCCCGCTCTTTTCGCCTTCGCAGTTATCCTTTTCTTGGCCACCGTAAAAATACGAAATAATGAAATCACCTGCTGCCGCGGTTGTCTTGGGTGTCTCGCGCATCAGAGGACTAGTAAGTGTCACGCTTACGGTGACCGTACCCCCTGAAACAGTTAGAGCTGCAGATTCCGGATGCTTCCCGACATTGTAAGTGTCCTCTGGGGCCACGTTCTTCAGTTCACCCGGTAGAATTTCAGCAACTTTGTTAAGCAGTGCCCTGCAACGAATTACGGTGTCGTGTCGATTACCATGAACGCATTAACAATCGTGTTCAATAAAAGCGGACCACTAGTCTGTACCTTGTCGGTTTCTCAGCACACAATACGACCAAGCAAACATGGTTGTCACCAGATAATAAGAGGCCTTTCGCCAAGTTGCCAACGCGCATAACACCGCGAAGTATTCTAGAATCCTCCTTCTCCTTTTGGAACGAGAAAAGATTCCCGTCACTGCCGTCTTCCTTCTGAGGCGTGACTGCCGCCTTCTTCTTGTCTGCCTCCTCCTTCTTCAACGCATCCGCGTTCGCGTTCGCCTGTGGCGTAGCAACAGCCGTAGGTGTTGTCGCGGTAGAATTAGCGTTCGCAGGATTACTCTTTTTACCTGTAGATAAAAATATGAGTTTGTGGTGATCTCAGTAGAAACAGTAGGTTACGTCGAAAGATCCGTGAGAAAAATTGAGAAAAGGGAGATTCACTTACCAGCCTCAGCCAAAGAATCCGACACATATTTTAGCGCCTTTTCGGTATGGGAAACTATTTTCTGAACAGACAACAGTTCTTGCTCTTTCGGATAGATAGTCGTATGGTGGGCCAGGACATGCTTGTCGTCCGATGAGTCCGGCCGTCTTTGAGGACCTGGATACATCATCATAGGTCCCGGTGGTCCCGCGAAAGGACCACGCGGAATGGGCGCCGCGCCTGGGCCGCGTCCGTATCGTCGGTACCATTCGAAGTATTCGCATTCTTCTTCGTAACGTCGTCTTTCCTCCCAATACATCATCATGTCTTCGTCCATATGCATAGGTCCCATAGGTCCCAATTGACTAATTTCCTCTCTACGACGCAAATATTCGTCGCGTATCTGTTGTCTGCGCAACTTCTCCTCCAACATTTTCCGTTGCTTGAGGCTCGGTTTCATGTCGACGACCAAGTCCGGGTTGACCTTCTTCTTGTAGGCAAATCTGTGGCGACGGCCCTTCATGTGCATGTCTTTGGCATTAGGATCGTTGAAGCGACATTCGCATAGTTTACAGTTGAAACTTATGATCTTGCCGTCTTCGGACTTGTTTTCCTCAATGTATTCCTGGCCAACTGGTTGAATGTCTTTCTCATCGACTGCAGCTTCCTCCACAACTTCCTCTGCGGCTGGTTCATCCGGCTTGATTTCGGCCGTTTGATTCTGATTGACCGTGCCCAAGTTTCCAGCTGAAACGTATCGATAAAGCGTGTATTCAAATGTTTATAAAACGCCTTTGGATTCTAACAGTATATTATAAAGAGGAGCAGGTCCACAAGTTTACTTACAAGCAACAAAGTTAATTTTAGGTGTCGCTGTCACTGCTGCTTTCTTAGTCACCGCGGCCTTCGTAGCAGCAGCTGGTTTCGGGTTTAGAACAGTAGGGTCTGCACTAGGAATCGGTTTTCCAAGCTTTGTGTGTAACTTGACAACTTTCTGATGCTTAGCACCTCTGATGTGAGCTGCATAGGCATCGTTTCCCGTGCACGTAACATCACAGAGTTCACAGCGTAGACTGTTGCCTGCTCCGCGAGCCGGTGGTTGCTGAGGCACCTTAAGCGAAGCTTCCTTCTTCTTGTGCTTTTGTCCCTCCAGATGCTCGCGATAGGTTTGCGGTCCGGCACAGCTGATTTTACAGACATCGCAATAGTGCAGTTGCTGAGGCTTCGGGGGCTGCTTGGGCCGCATTGCCTTCATCCCTCCCCCTCCAGCTCCGAACCCCTTTCGCCCGTAGCCCTGCCAACCTCCAGTCTTCTGGTTAGTGGAATTGCTGTTTGCACTCTGTTGGGCTACATACATAGTCGCAGCGCTATATAGCGCTGCGTCGTAGCCGGAATACGTTGTACTCGCCGTTTCTAAGGGAAATGAAATTGAAACCTCAAACTTTGGAGCGATCAACCTTTCGTACTTGCGCGCGCGCGAAATAAAATGTTCTTTTCTCTTTCATTTACTAATTATTCATAGTTCGAGATATCGATAAATAATATATCAGAAAAAGTATATACTCTATGTTTGACAGTAGATAAAGAAATTTCAAACTTCTGCTATATCCTTGAACTATCACTTGCGTTCGAGAATGCTAGCAGAAGTTTCGCAAATTTCTTTTCGTCTTATTCTTTTTGACATTCTTTCGTGTATCGTGAGAGGATCAATTTCATGTTATTAGTTCCTACGTCACAGTTAGTGGTCAGACTAGGATTGAAGACTTTTTTGGAAGTTTGGAGAGACAAGTGTATACTATAAAAAAAAAAAAAAAGATCGGTCGGAACAACTAGAATCAAGTAGAGCGAACTCAATTTCTGGGTTGTGTATGGTTAATTGTCTTAATTTTTTCAGCATAATTTTGATATTCTTGTAATCTCTCATTTGTACAAGTATTGAGCAAAACAGGTTAATCACGATATAATTATCCCGAAAAGATCGTTGATTTAAACAGTGTTTATCCATTTTATTATAAAAAAATTAACAATTTAAACTTGATCTTAAAAAACCCAATGGCTGATAACCGATGCCAGAAGATTCAGAAAAAAAGCCGGAGTTAGGTCCCAGGTAGTACACACATTAGCATATCATATAAAGCTTACTCACATATGTGTCGCCGCAATGAGAATTTATTTGCGAACGAGGTAGCCGACGCAAGCCATCAATGGTCAGTTGAACAAATCTCGCAAACGTCGTTCAATTATTAAAGTCATTAGTTGAATGCACTTGTCTGATTTATTTCATCTTTCATTCGGAAGTAGAATTGCTCATTATTGCAGTTTGATCAACATTTCAATTTATATTAACCTTTTACTTTGAACTAGAACTTTGACTAGTCGAATTCCTACATCAGATTGTTGAACAGAATTTTTATTTCATTCAAGACTCCTGGTTAACATACGGCCATCTTGTTTTACGAAATGACGCGATCGACTAAGCACATTCCTAACATATCCCAAACACTTTCCTTTTGCTCTGACAATAAACAAGAATCATATTAACATGATAAAATCATGACGAAAGGAAAGCATGTCACATTAACGTTTGTGGCTACTCAATGACTAGAGCAAAAGGAGAGGAGTATTTTTGAATACCTTTAGAAATGTGTTTAATCGACTGCAGGCGTCGGATACATTCTTTTATTTTGACGTAAGGATCTCGAGCATCTCCTCACTTCTGACGACCAAAATGGCCGCGGCCAGGGCCTCAATTGCAGTCGGTGCGATTTGCTCGACCCAGAGACTCGGTTCGTTTTACCTGATCTTTTTTCCGGTGTACACAGACAAGAGAGATCAATCAGGAAACTTACTATTCGTTGCGGTCGATGGAGTAGCGGCTGGCGTAGCTGGGGCGGTATATCCCGACGAGTAGGTCGCGCTTTGCGTAGGGTTCGACTGTTGATAAGCTGTGCTGGATGCCTGATAGGTCTTGGCCTGTCCAGTGGTCGTGGCTTGCCTCGCGGTGCCGGTGTAAGCACTTGTCGTGCTGTATGCAGGTTTCGCGGCTTGATAGTGGGTCTCAGTGGTGGTGTAGGTCGCGGCAGCAGCTGCTGGCTGTTGATAGTAAGTCTTGGTGGCGTCGTAAGTGGCTGCTGGCGCAGCCCGCCCGTAGCCGTAATCGTAAGTTTGTGCCACAGTACCAGGATTAGCGGCTACAAGAACACCTTACAATGTCACGATTGTCATCCTGAGAAATTGTCTCATGGTTCGTAGTGGTGTGTATAAATAGGCACAATACACATAAATGCAGTGCAATCCTATTTAATTTCTCAGTTTCCATTTTCCTTCTTTACATTTCCTATTTTCACTTTCTATGCACAGTCATGGACAGAAAGGTTGTCTGTAATTTCTAGAGTTAGTGAATTCATCAGTCATGTCCAATAGCATTCTCCCAGTACAAGACAAATTCTTCCATTAGACAAATGAGTTCACAAACTTATCCCAAAAATTATAAATCTTTTAGTCCACAATTATACATATTTTGTATGAAGTGCAAGAGCAAACATATGCAAATTTTCAAGTGATGCACAGTTGATAATATTTATTTTGTACAATCTGTATTATTGTATTGCTGGTGCTGATACAAATCTTTCTTTACATATTTATAAATGAAGTAGCAAAGAAACTGATCCATTAGAATGTTAAACCCATTAATATAACGAGTACTACTAGGAAACAGAAAAGCACAAAAAAAGTAAAGAAGAAACAAGACACAAGAATTCTACATGAATGAAATGATAGCTAATTTTATATAAAATTCACAACAGCATAAAAAGACAGACGCAGACACCTGTGTGTTGATCATAACTCATTCTAATCATATCTTTTTATCAAGAGCAAACGCATACATGTTATATGAATATGGCCTCTACATAATACACACACATATATATACATAGTGCACACATAAAACACATATACACACACACAATAGAGTTTGGATAAAGTAGAGCTTACCTGCGTATGTCGTCCCAGTCGCAGCTGCAGCAGCGGCTGCCTGGTAGGTCTCGTAACCAGTGGCAGCTGCAGCGGCGGGCCGTTGAGTGTACGTAGCGGCGGTCGCCGCTGGTGTTACCGCGTATCCCGCTTGACCGGTCTGATAAGCTGCCGCACTAGTGGCTCTGTCCGAACAAGAAAAGCCGATTATTTGACTCTGGCCGAGGGAACGGAGGCCCGTCGAGCGGCCGCGAAGGAGAGCGTGGCGACGCGAACGACGGCTAAGACTGAGCTGGAAAAACGGGCCGGCGGCCGATGCCCGGGGATGGACGCTCGACGGACGCTCTCTACTCTCGGCAAAGAGAAATGGCCGCCAAGCCGGCAGTGGACCGTCTCATGCGTGCCGACGTTGCGCGACGTTTTTGTCACTATCGCGGGCGCGCTCGCGGCCACGAACGTTTGCTTAGCTTAACACTATCTACTTAGTAATAATGGTATGCAGACGATTTCGTACCCATATTGCGTTCCGCCGTGAGTAAAGCCAAAATAATTGTTCTGTGCCATCCTTCCTCGCAGAGAATCCCGGAAAGAAGGACAATGGAGTCGTAGGGCGTGCCAACGAGCTCGATAGAATGACGACGACGACGACAGCGCCGCGCGCGCCGATTGGCTATTCAGTCGGTGCACGGGCGCGACGATCGCGCGCACAGTGTGCCCCTAAACGACCGTTTCCGCGAGAACCCGAGAGGAGGCGCGCGCATGCGCACGTAGTGTGCCGTCTTACGTGCGCGGCCAAGTTCCGCGCAAGCGCGCCGCTCTACCGGACGCCGCCGCTGCCGCGCGCGCTACCTGCTGTCGCTGCCGTCGTGCGTGTCCAAGTATTGCACCACGAGAGACAAGAAACGCGCGAGACAGAGAGAGAGAAAGACAGATAGATAGACAGAGAAAGAGACGCACCAGAGAGCTTGGAGGAGCGAGAGAGCGCGCGCGACCGTGCGTGCCAGACAGAGAGGAGAGCGGTGAACGAACACGCGCGGGTCAAATGATGACCGAGCGGTAGATACTAGCGGCCTTTTAATTCGAACTTCACTAGACTTACTGCGTGATCTCTCGGCAATGTCCGGGACGCCGGGGGGGTAGCGGTGTGTGTGGGTAGAGCTCGCCGATATAATTTCGCGGCTGGGTTGCGTGTCGCGCGGCGCGACGTACGTCCGGCGTGCGTGAGGAAGGGCGAGAGTTCACCGGCGGGAGGACGGACGTGCGTGACGTGCGTGCGTGCGTGCGTAAAATATACGTGCGGTATACAACGGTGTCGCGCCCGTTCGTTCGCTCGTTCGTTCGTTAGTCAGTCGGTCGTGCCGTGTGCGTGCCCGAGCGTGAGGCGGACGCGAGAGTTCCGACGGCTTCCTATTCCCCGCGCCATCTGTCGTGTGCCAATTGTCTCTCTCTCTCTCGTAGACTCGCGTCGCCGCGCTATCTAGTAGCATCCGCCGGTATCGGTAGACCACTGTCGTCGTCGTCGTCGTCATCGTCATCGTCATCGTCATCGTCGTCGTCGTCGTCGTCGTCGTCATCATCATCATCATCATCATCATCATCATCATCATCATCATCATCATTGTCGTCGTGGTGTGCACGTCGTTGGAGTCGGGGGAAGCGGTAATCGGGAGTAATTTTATACTTTGCCGATTAGAGCTGCACGGACGTTTTTGCGTCTGCTAAATTTGTCTCTCGGTGTAGGTGAGGTATTAATACACGACGAGTCGCGACGAGTCGAGTAGTACTCACAAGTAACTTGGCAGAGTGCCATCGCCGATTTCGAGTTTATTTCCGTCGCGATCGACTCGAAACTCTCGTCGCGGTTGACCTATCCCACGAGTATTTACCTGTATTCGAGATCACGAGTCCTTGCGATTCGCCGTCCAAAATGCGGCAGGCGATTCTACTGGCGTTGTTGAATTATTTGCTGTCGGTCGCATCGCAGAATATCGTCCTGATCCTTACCGACGATCAGGACTTGACTCTAGATGGCATGGTAGCGTCTTTTATTCTCAATTTCTCGACATTACATTGACTGTGTCTCGCAATTGGAGCAATTTACGACTGAGTTCAATCGTTTCTTTGAGATGTTCCATTTTGTACGTTCGCAATTACGTTTTCAAGTCGTATCATCGGGCTGTGAATCGATCGAAAGTCTCATTGACGAATTCAACGAGACTTTTTATCTTTCACGAGTTCTCGCGAAGGAAATGGATACATGATCGATTCGCAGTGCTACGGCTTTAAAGCATAATTACCGCCGCGTTGTGGACGATCCTTTCTTCTGCTGGGTTGCGTTCCAGAACTCTACTCGAATAGCATTTAACTAATCAATCAGAACAAAGAGAACTAAGATTTCTTTATTACGATTGGTCAATTGAATGTCACTCTATCCGCCGAGTATGATTTTGGAACGTAGCCTTGTCGGCATCACGTAACGCAACATGTATCTTGGTAAATAGATTACAATAGGTTTGTTCGTGTCGCAATTTTATATTTGACATTTTTACACTTAACGTAACGTCTGTTGCACATTTCCTTTAGAAAAGAGAACTCTCATTGAATTTCGCTTCGTCTTGCGTTTAGAGCGTAACGGGCATTAAGGCCATCACACACAAAATTCCGTAAGAACTTAAAACGTAAACGTAAAGAAATCGACCAATCCCAAACGAGCACTCGGCTCTTCGTAACCCCTCCATTATTACGAAGAGCCGAATACTCGATTGGGATTGGTCGATTTCCTTACGCTTACGATTTAAGTTCTTACGGAATTTTGTGTGTGATGGCCTTTAGGCGCAAAAGTGCCAAAAGTGCAAGCAACGCGAACACACCTAATGAAAAGAACCTCGTCGACGCAAACTTGTTGTTGCACGTTTCGACGAGCAGAGAATGTGAGACGGACGATTCAACGACTGGAATCACTTCGATCGCGAACACCGTCAATGGATATAACTCCAACCGTGTGTATCCGGATTTAACTTGTGATTTCAGACGCCAATGACGCATACGCGGAATCTTATCGGACATCATGGCGCTACATTTAAAAATTGTGTAAGTTTGTCCTAAATGTAATGAAAGAGAAAGAGAGAGAGTGACTATTTGGAATATCTTCAAACCGACACTTACAGAAGTTGTGTCACGTTTTTAGTTCGTAGCTTCGCCTATCTGTTGTCCCAATCGAGCGTCCATTCTGACCGGACGCTATCAGCACAATCACTTGACGGTGAATAATACTATCGCAGGCGGTTGTAGTAGCGCGCAATGGCAACAGTCGCGAGAGCCGACGACATTTGCCGCTCTTCTGCAGAAGCTCGCCGGATACAAAACTTTTTACGCGGGAAAATACTTGAATGAGGTAGGCGCGATTCTTCATGAACGGCGTAAGCACGTGAAAGCATCGCGATGCTCGCTTGCGTGCCTAATTCCGAACATTCTTGGTCTTGAAACACCCAGACAGCACAATGTCCAAAACTGAGACATAAGACGACTTAAAGACGTCGTATGACCCAGTTTTGGACATGTGTGCTGTCTAGGACGAGTATTTAATTATTTAATAAGAGATATACACATATTTTGAGCATATACATGTGTCCCAATATTCGTGTTTAAAGAAACAACAAGAATGTTCAGGATTAGGTACGTGTTCGGAAATTGATATTTTTACGTTACTCCATGTAGAAGTAAAATCGAGTCGAAGCAATTGACGAAAACATTTTTTAAATTGTTTAAAAAATATGCCATTTCCTACTTTTCTCAATTTTCGCTCGCTCATGGGCATTACCTAGCCGATAAAAAGCGAGTGCATTTTATGTCTGTGAAATGCGCGAGTCGGAAATTTCACATTACATCAACGTTACTTCGGACTATTTTTTGCTTTTCTCAATTTTTCGTTGCCACTCGCGAGTAAAGATTAAAAAAAAAATAATGAGTGAAATAAATACACTCTTCTGTAACGCAGTACGGCAACAGTAAAGTTGGCGGAGCGGCTCACGTGCCGCTAGGTTGGGATTGGTGGGCCGGTCTCGTTGGAAACTCAAAATATTACGATTACTCGTTATCGATAAACGGTAGCGAGAGGATGTACGGTAACAACTCGGACGATTACCTTACCGACGTGATCGTAAGTACGGCCATTTTGGAATTCCTTTCCGTCCAGTTTCCGCGAGGATTTGAGTCTGGATCGGCGTCGCGCGCGTTAAACCCATCAGATAAATGAGAGAGCAACGAGAGGATTACAGCTGCCTTCGTGTATTGCAGAGTAATCTGGCTGTAGATTTTATTAACACGCACACAGACGACCAGCCTTTTCTCATAGTATTAGCACCTCCGGCCCCTCACGCACCCTTCACACCTGCCGATAGACATAACCACAAATACAATGGCACGAGAGCGAAGAGAACCCCGAATTTTAACGTGCCGGTGCATCAGGTACGACACTGCAAAATATAACCTTTTCCCGAAATCATTCTGTATCCTGTGTGTATTTTCTTTTCGATAGAATAAGCATTGGCTGGTTAGGCATGGTCAAGCCCCTTTACCCGACAATGTGCTGCCAAAATTAGATGATATATACAGTAAGAGATGGGAGGCTTTATTGGCGGTCGACGAATTGGTCGCAACCGTTCATAAGTCACTGAAGAAGCGAAATCTCTTGCATAATACATACTTTATTTACACCTCCGATAATGGATATCACATTGGTAATTGATTCGATAACGTGCTTTATTCAGGTCACTCGAGTTACATTATGCGTAAAGAGTCACAAAGAGGGAAAATCGCGTTTTTTAAATTTATCTTTTGAAAAATGAAGATTATATTGCACGAATTTCTCCACAGCCGTGCACTTCATACAGCTTTGTGTAACGTAATTAAAAATATTTATGCCATGTATGTTTTTTGAGAGAATCGAGACACAAATTCCACTGTACGCTCCGCAGAAAAAGACACGGTAATGACGACTATATAGGCGACAACTATATATATTTTGTATGTGGAATTAATGCATATAGTTTAATAAACTGTTTTGTAGTTGTTACAATTAGTACAATTGCAACGACTACAAAGTAATTCACTAAACTGTATACATTACATGTACAATTCTACGTACAAAATTTTTGTATAATTGCCACCTATCCCAGTAAACACAAAGTATCATCGATGTTATATATCCCAGTATTTTTCCATAGCCATGCACTTGATATAGCTTTGTGTAACGTAACTAAAAAGATTTATTATGTCATGTATGTTTCTTGAGAGAATCTAAATTTTTCTGTACTATATAATCAGAGAAAAAATCATGGTGATGGCAACTATATACCAGTAAACACAAAGTATCATCCATATTACAATGTCAGCTTTATCATATGGTATATAACAAAGTAACAGTTACGTTATGGATGATACTTTGTGTTTACTGGGATATAGTTGCCATCACCATAATTTTTTCTCTGATTATACAGAAAAATTTATGTCCAGATTCTCATGACATAACAAATCTTTTTAGTTACGTTACACAAAGCTGTATTAAGTGCACAGCTATGGAAGAATTAAGTATAATCTTCATTTGTCGAAAGATAAATTTGAAAAACACGGTTTTCTCTTTCTACAGTTTTTAAATCATGCTTCTCTCTCGGAGTGTAGGCGCAGTTTCAATATACTTTTGTGTCTAAGACGCGCTGTTATCTCGACAGGTCAGTTTAGTATGCCTATGGATAAGCGCCAACCGTACGAGACCGACATACGAGTTCCATTACTGATATCCGGTCCAGGAATCGCCCCGGCTACAATTTCTGCACCTGTCAGTAGCGTAGATATCTTCGCCACATTGTTAGATATAGCCGGCATGGAGTATGCGTCTGACGGCAAAACGTTGTTTAAGAAGAGCGATAATTTACCAGAGGATCGTACTCTCCTGATAGAATACAGGGGGGAGAGATCTAGACATAGATCGTCGTCCGGATGTCCGAGTGACTGGGATCTGAACGTTACAGCAAGTATCAAATCTTTAAGTTCTAGCGACGTCACGCTTTCTAGAGTTGAGCTCATTGTAGCGTCTTACAGTTATGCGTGAGAGAAATGGCGTGCAAGTGTCAGGATGCCGCGAACAACACGTTCAGTTGTATTCGCCGCGTTTCCCCGAGTTTCAATAACATCTTTTGCGTCTTCGAGGACGACCAGGTATTTTGTGATTCAGCTAAAATGCGTACGCGCGCGCGTCTCTCAGCGCACCAAAATGCGTTCCACATTAAAAAAAAAACTCGGTTACTTTCTGTAGGAATTTATCGAGGCTTACGATCTGAACGTCGATGAGTACCAAATGACAAATATCGGGTATACCATGAAAAAGGGACTGAGACACAAATTTCGAAAGCGCTTGAACAGAATGACTGCGTGCCGGGAGGCCGACTGCATTCTCGCCCAACTTACGACGACAAAAACTGATTACGAGGCGACAAAAAGCGATTACCCGAAGGAAAGCCGAACGGCGAGCGGAAGTGGATTCTGCTTTCTGCTCGAACGTTTAATGGTATCTATTTTCATACCTCTCGCTATATCCACACGTCAGTTATTGTAAGAGTTACGAAGTATAATAAAGTGTCTTAAATCAAGCACGGTTTACATTTTATTATTGTAGAGAGCGCGCGGGAGCTACGATATAACGGAATAATTCCGGAATACCTCCACCCCGCACATCGTCCGCCCTAGGTCGGAGGTAAGATCGCCCAAGTTGTCTTATTTCGAATTATTGCATTTATGGGAATCGCCGTCGGAGAATACGCTGCGAATCTGGATATAAGAATAACTCGCCTTGCTCGCGCGGGACGAAGGGCGGTCGGAGACGGGCGAGAGGGGAAAGGGGCCAGGCACACCCCCGAACGTAACTGTTTTCTTAGCAAATATTTTTATTAAAGCCCCGCAGTCTCGAATATCTGAATAGCAATGGCGATATTCGCGGAGGAAAAGGGAGGAGGCGGCGAGAGGAAGGTGGAAAAAAGTCGGGCGCGTCGAAGACACGTCGCGGCCGGCGAGTGCTGATGCGACGGCGGCGGCGGAGTAGCAGGTACGTGTATCGAGCGTATGTACATATTTATATTGCTAAAACGTTCCCGGTTCCTCGAGGATTTGCGGCGAGGATGCGCGCGGAGAGAACAACGATCTCTCTCGCCGCGCTACTCCCGATACACTCTGCGAGACCGCTATTATTTTACACGTAGGTGGTATAAGCCGCGATAATGCGCGCGCACATATCGCCATACAGATACTGATCTAACAGAAATAACATGGAAACATACTTGAGGATTATGCGAAACGTAAACGGGTAGTTGAGCAAAAATTGCAAATCCACAGGTGCGGCCAGGCCGCTGAACGTTTTATAATCCGCGACGGAATCCGGGATAGAATTTTATCTGTAATTTCGTGCGCCGCGTAATGCGGAAAACGCGCTCGAAAAGATTTATGGGTATATGAGTGTGTGCGTGTGTGGGGCTATTCACCAAGTATGGAAAATCGCGCGTGTCCCTCAGTGCTCGCATATGCGAGCGACGAAGGGTTAAATGCTGGCGCATTGCGTTCTCGCAAGAGCGACGACACGGGCGTGTATAAAGCGCCCCGACCCTTTCGGTGTCAAGGAGCGTGAGAGACGCTCTTTCACGTTACGCGAATGAACGTCAAAATGTTTGCAGACTCCGCGCCGACCCACAGGCCCGTTTAATCGTTTGCACAGATGGTTTTACAGAGCGAATCCACAGGCCGCGTGCGCGACTCATAGCCGTGATCGCTTTTGAGATTATCGTTAGCGAAGTTGCGGCGGTTCTCTCTTTCTCTCTCTCAAGAGAGAGAGAGAGAGAGAGAGAGAGAGAGAGAGCAGGGAAAGAAACCGAGACTTATTCACGCGAGATTTGCGTCTCGCAAATGTTTCCGCGAAGGAAAAACGGATGAAGGAGCAAACAAATTTAATCGGTAACAAGAGGAACTCGCTTGTGCGAAAACGCAAAGAATCGGAACACCACGCTGAGAAAAAGTACTTGAAGACTTTTATTTGTAGGATATAAAGTTTATTTCCGTGAAACGTAAAGTTCACTTTTGCGAAATAAGCTTTTATCCCGCAAATAAAATTTTCAAGTGCTTTTTTCTCAGTGCGCGCATGATTGTATATTGAGAGAGAGACAAATCTAAAAAATAAAGACAAATGTTTATATTAGGTGAGTGTTAATAAAATATTTATTTAATTCTAAATTCGTTGATTCAAATAAAAAATTACTTTTATGAAAAGCAAGAGGATTTTAGGAAAATGTATATTTTCTCTTCTTGTATATTATTGATGAAACAAATATTTGGACAATGGAAAAGTATGTATTATTAGTGCAAACAAATATGCGTTCAATACTCATTGGATAAATATTTTTTATTTTTTAGTTATTTTTTTCTCTCTTTCTCTTACACACAGTATAGAATCTAATTTTCAAGATTCGGACTTTCATGAGAGAATTTGCACGATTTCGTATCAAATAAAACTTTATTGATATCTATCTCTGTTGAAATTCGCATAGTTTTCCGTCGGATATTTCAGATTTTTGTTCTCGTAGCCAATATATATTTAATGCCAGAATAACTATCAAAATTTCGATAACTATTTTTGCAATCATGTCTAATCGGTGTTCTGTTAGAATCGCATAGCGCGCATCTCTCTCTCTCTCTCTCTCTCTCTCTCTCTCAATACAACTCAGTTTATAATTTACATGCTGTTTCGAGCAGCAACGCTATTGCACCGTGGGGTTTTGCGGATCCCCGAGACCCCGATCGATCGGTCGATTGAGCGTTCATAGTGATCCTCGTTACATCGTAGCTGAAACGTGTAAGTCGGCTTGCGGACGAGTCCCTTTATTCTCTTCTCATTGATCGTTGGAGCGAGCGATCGCCTCCTTGTTGGCCAGGATCAATGGCTTTCGTTGCCTTTCGAGCCATGGATCCAGGCTTTGCCTGACCCCCGTCTCTCCCCCTCTCTTTCTACCCGGGGGTCCCTCCTTCCGGCGGATACTTATGCCAACTTACACTTAGACCGCGGGGGAAATTACAAAAGGGATCGATGTATCTCGAAAAAATACGCGAGAATTGTGGCGCGACGGCGTGGGTCGCGCTAAAAGATTTACGCATACTAAACTATAAACGCGCTTTAGATTTGTACACACGAGTTTCGCCGAAAACACCGCATGTTGCTTTTCCTTTGTGTATTTATTATATTCTTTCTGTGTATTTTAATATCTCCTTTCGCGCCCCCATTCGCCCATTTTATCTTTTACTCGTTCTTCACTAATCAGTTTTTTATATATCTTGATCATTAAGTATTTATCAGTCGACATTATTATTATCGTTTGATACACAACCATTAGCAACGGCGATATATTTGTGAAATTTTGTGAACTTACTCTCTGAAAGGAAAGAAAAGCGCGTGTTCATACACAGCCGCGACTTTGTCATTAAAAACGACGAAATCTGCCACGTCGAGCTTTCCGGTGATCTGTCTTCTCAAACGGCAACCCTTGTTATTCGATAATTAACCTTTCCCTCTTCCGGTGTAACCTGGCACGGCGAAACGAAGCGTATTCTCTGATTTTCCTTTGGCCGACTCGCGCCTTCTCCTACTCTGCGCGACTTTCTCTTCTCGAGACCGGCAACGCGGAAAATGCGAATTTAGTGTAAATTAGTGAGTCGGAAAATAACGGGGTGGAAGCGCTTCCTTTGACGTGTCTTACGACGATCGCGTTGAATGCGTAACAAGATCCAAGAGAGCTAAACCATGATTGGTAAAACGTCGGAATTATCAGAGGTCGTTTCGAAGAAACGGCAGGAGTCTTTAGCAAATCGGCCTATTACGGAATCATTCAATTAAAGGAAACTATAGACCTAAGCTGCGAAAAGCGAAAGGCTATCCGACGGAATACACATAACTCGATCGCATCGAAAAAAGATGTGTTAAAAAATAATTATGGTCCGTATTAATAGTCGTTATTTCGGGACTTGTCTCGAGTGACATATTCAGATCTGAATCTAGGTCCGTATTAATAGTCGTTACTTGAAACTTGTCCTACTTGTCCTACTTGAAGTATCCAAATCTGAATTTAGAGTTAGATGAGAGTTTTTTATTGGAATTATAATGTGACATTACATTTGCAATTGCGATTCAGCTGAGAAACTCAGGTTTAACTCGAAGTTAAAATCTGAGTGTCTTATCTGAAGCAAGTTTCAAGTAACGACTATTAATACGGACTTTAGAGTTAGATGTCAGTTTCAGTTGAATCGCGATTGCAAATATGATGTTGCACATATTATATAATTCAAATGAAAAACATTCATATGACTCTAAATTCAGATCTGAGTATCTCACGTAAAACAAGTTTCAAGTAACGACTATTAATACGGGCTTTAAAGTTATATGAATTTTTCAGTTAAATTGCGGTTACAAATATGATGTTACGAATATCGAATTACTCAAATGGGAAACTATATAACTTGAAGTTTAGTTCTGAGATTGTTTTACGTGAGACAAACTTCAAGTAATGATTGTTAACACGGACCTTAATCTAACAGTCATGAAAACCCTGCACAAATTATAATTGACTTAAATTGCGTAAAATCAAATGAAATCGACAATTTCACTTTCCTGGAAATCTGAACTTGAGATTTAGTCAATAGTATAAAGAATTACTAAACTGTTGTAATTACAAAATTACAACTAAACTGCAATGTAGTTATACATGGAGAGAGAGAATATTGTAGTAAAAATTACAATACAATTTTACAATTACAATACAAATTTTAATGTTCCGGGAATAGACTAGCACTATGATGAAAATTATAATAAGATATAGTAAATTAATTATGAACAGAACAAAAATTATTACAAATGTAGTAAAAATTATCATGTTTATGATCATTTTTACTGTTTTATTTTAATTTTCGTAATAATGACAGTCTATTCCCGGGTTATTAAAATTGTATTGTACTTTTTACTACAATATTATCTCCATGTATGTAAAATATAAATTTCCAATTATCAAAAGATTTACAATACGAGCAATTCTTCTATCTCTGATGGAAAGTCTAGAAAATCAACCGGTCAATACAACAATGTGTTGGATCAGCTCTACGGTCGTCTCGTATTGAACAATACTTTGAGTTTGTTTCGCACAAACTATAGAGTTGAAAAGAACACCAAAGTTTTACTGAAAGCATTAGAGCAGTTAGTTCGTTATGTACACGTCTTGAAATTCAATCCGTTCAACTCGACTTGTTTCGACGAATCCTTTTTTCCAGTAGTTGAAAAGGAGAAAAGAGAGGGGATATGATTTTAATATAATTCGACAAATACACGTCACACGCATACACTCCCAAGTAAACCTACCCAAAAGTTACACTCCAATTTCTTTTTAACTTGACAAATGTAGACTTTTAACAAATGTAGACTTTTTAATGTTAAATATTTTATTATTTATACAAATAATTTTACACATTCATTTCATATTCATAATCAGTAAATCAAAAACGCCTCTATCTTGTATTCAATTTTATTTCTTATTACGCATTTTTTTGATAATAGGAGTAAGAACATTAAAAAGCTATAAACTGTTCATGAAACTCAAAGTAGGCCCAAATGAAAAAATATGACCTAAATATTTTTTGTACTTCTACATTTGTGCCAAATTAGAAAGAAATCGGAGTGTAGTACCTTTTGAGTAGGTTTACTTTGTCAGCTGTGGTTTTCACACTTTTTTTCCAATAAAGTCGCGGCGCTCAAGTTTGTCATAATTGTAAGCCGCTGTTACGTGAATAATAACAGTAGTAATAAAGTTAATAATAATTAATAATATAATTATCGGGCAAGCTTGTCAATAACGATTCTCAATTTTGACAGTTTGGTGAGCTCCCAGTCTCTCTGTATCTGAGTCGTTTTGCAAGCCGCTGTACATCACAGCTAAACATAGACCTCACCGGCCAATTTTCCGCGTCGCGACACCGGACACGAAAGAAGGGCGCGTCCTTAATTACCGATCCATT